CCCCCCCCCCCCCACACACACACACGGCCCCGACTTGCCCACTTTGGCTGGCTTCCAACGAACTAGCCGCTCTCGGATGCTTGTGTGTGCCGGCTCCAAGCATGGCCTGCCCTGTGGGCCGCGGAAGAGGGCCCCGGCCCCCTCCCCACCTCACATTGCCCGGGGGCCCCTGAGCGGGCGTACCTTCTCGCCCCCGCTCCACCTCACCCAGGGGGTCGGAAGGGGGCGATGCATCATCATCATCATTGGGCCAATGTGTTGCCCGGGCCGCGACCGGGGGCATATGCGACACACCGCGTAACAGACACCCACGCACACAGATACACCTTGGCACACGCGCGGACACGACAAACACGCGAGATGTTGATCGCTTGTGCCATCGTGCCCACCTCCCTTCGCGGGGATGACCTCCTTCCATGGCGCGCGCGCGCGCGCGCGCGCGGCGCCCCTGCCGTTGTCAATCTAGGGGGTGTATTTGCCCGGCGCGCTGCGAGGCACGTGGAGGCGCACATGCAACCCCATGCACGCCTCAGGAGGGTCCCCCACCCCGCGCCCCCTCGCTCCGGGCACACATTGGCATCCCAGCCGAAGGGGTCTCCCCTCTGCACGTTGCAACAAAATGACAACAAGAGGGGGCTCACACGCGGCACGCATGGCCGCCTGCTCGCTTCGGGCCACCGCCGAGGGCTTTAGGGCATGGCAAAGGCCCGAGCCAGGTCAGGGGCCGCCGGCCGGGCGCCCGGGTCCTCGGCCCATGCCTGGGAAATGGCCCCGATGAAGCGCTCCAGGTCGTCCTCCGGCCAGTTCCAGCTGCCAAACAACTCGCCAGCCAAAGGCGGACGACTGGTCGACGGATCTGCACACGAGCAAGCAGCAAACGTGGCACGCATCGCGCATCGCACAGCACCCACCCACCCACATACACGCATCCATGTCAGTGACACTTCGGGGCGGTTTGCACGCAAAAAGGCCGAAGAGGAAATGGACGCACCGATCGACGGCTTCCTCGAGCGAGCCATCACACACCATGCCAGCACCGCAAAGGCATACACATCGCACGCAAAGTGACCCTCCACCGGCAGCCGCAGCTGCTGGTTAAAGGCATGGACCAGCTGAAGAAAGCACGCAGGCAGCGGAGAGGAGCAGGGCAGCGGGACATTCCAAGCGGCCAGACAGCACCCATGTCGACGAAGAACCAAGCCACGCCCGATGCGAAGAGCGGTGTCGGCCAAGAGCCCGCAGGGTTAGACACCAAATCGAAACACCAGCACCCCGGGGAGGGAGAGGGCCGACGGAGGGGACACGCAGGGGCAGAACAAAAAAGGACCATGGCACCGGCCTCGCACCTCCGGCGCAGCGAACATCCGCGACAGCGCATTGAACTCCAGCTCCTTCAGGACCGAGGGGTTGGTGATGTTGAGGGCGGCGCCGAAATCGCCGAAGACCACGTGCCACCGGCCGCCCGAAGGGCTGGGCAAATTCGACCCATTCGCCAGTGAGATGAACACATTCCCGGGCTTGATGTCGCGATGGGCATAGCCCGCGGCATGAATGGCCTCCAGACCAGAGGCTATGGCAGGTGGAGCCCGCACATGCGCCAACACACGTGCGCGCACACACGCACACACACAAAAGCCAAGGTACATCACGTCAGCACCCAGCCCGGCAGGCGGAAAAAAATCGCAGGCGACATGAGGAACCCCAGCCGAAGCCGGCATCGACACATACACAAGTCCGCCAGCAAGTGCTGGCCATCGGCCGCAGTCAGTTCCATCTCCGAGCTGAGCAGCCCGCCGAGGTCGATCTCGTACTTGCGCATGAAGATGGCAGGCGGGCTGATCGAGTAGCCGATCAGCTGGACCACCGATGGGAGGTGCGCGAGGGAGCTACGGGGAGGGGGGGGGGGGGGGGGGGGGGGGAGTCGCAATGGTCAGACGAGCACCAGCCACAAAGGGGCAGACTCTGCAGGGGGGCAGGAGGGGCCAATCCTAGCACCAGGGGGGAAGCCAATGTGGGCACACGCACAACATGATGGCGATCTCATGCTCGAAGATGCTCTGATGGAAGCCGGGGGAGTATGTGCGAACGGAGTCACGCGTTAAAACATTTGCCAATAGCGACCGGGGGGGGGGGGGGGACACCATGGGCCGGCTGATGGCCATCTGAAGGGACAGACACGCATAGATCACAAAAAAAATGGATCTGTCCGGGTGGACGGGAGCGAAGGGGGATGATGCTGCGCACCTTGAGTGAAGAACTTGGCCGCCGCATCGGACGACCCATGGAGCTGGATCAGGTCGGGATCGGTCAGCTCAATGATCTGAACCTTACCCTGGCCACCGGAGGCGATGGCCCCGCCATCATGATGATCCACCAACCGAGCGATGTCCGCAAAGTCAAAGGCCAGATGGCCCGGCAGGGACAGAGCTGTGCCGGTATTTGCCGGCAGAAAGCGACCACGGACGGAAAGGTCAGTGTGACCGGGAGAATGCCGTCGGGCCAGGGCACGAGCATGCCAGGGCCGGCTGTGGCCATTTCAGCCTTCCCAGGAGGCGCGCGAGAGCGAAGGGCAAAAAGAAGAAGACCCTTTTGGAAGGACGCACCGATCGTGGTGTTTAGGATGGTCTGATCCACATCAAGGGCTTCCATCGCCAGGGACTCCTGGAGAAGGAGGCGAAAAGGGAAAGGGACATGCGTGGCGCGCGCACACACACACACACGCAAGAGACACAGGACACATAGTGATAGGCATGGATGTCAGATCGCTTGGCGCAAGCATCGCCCACATTTTGCCCACGCCAGTCCCCTCATCCGCGCGCGATGGGCAAGAAAGAGGGGGGGGGGGGGGGGAATAGCCGCCCAACATCGTCGCACCTTGCCATCCAGGTGCTTCTGGCGCCGGCGGTACAGCACCCAGAGGATCACCAAAAGCACCACCAGCAAGAGCGCCAGCGACAGACCCAGGGCCAGACCCAGGGCAAGCCCTGTGCCGAACACGCCCCCCAACATCGACCCCGGCAAGGCAGGAGTGGTCAGATTCGGCGACACCCATCACCGGATCCCAGGGACGAGCAGAGGAAAGACCGGGGGGAGGAAAAAAGAAAAAAAAAAGAAGAAAAGGCGTACCCTTGGACTGGCCCTTGGAGGGGACCTGACAGCCGCTCGGCGGTAGGTTCGTCGGATCATCCAAGTCAAAGGTGTCACACGGCAGGCAGGTCTGGCCGTCATTCGTGCCAAAGCCACCCGGGCACTGGCCAAACACACACCCGGTCCCCAAGCGCAGAGCCCCAGCCGTGCAGAGAGCACACTGCCGAGAGGCCCCCTCGCCGGAGCACACCTCGCAATGCTCCGGACAGGCTTCGCAAATGCGCGCCCCGGCATCCGCCGAGAACCCCGCCGGACATTCGGTCCGACACATGCCCTCATGCAGGAGGCGCCCCTCCAGGCAGGATGTGCACTGGGAAAACTCCGCCCCCCGACAGGACCCGCACGAATGGTCGCACTTCCGACACAGGCCACCATCCAGGAAGGTGCCCGCCGGGCAGGAATCGACACACCGCCCGTCGGAAACCACCATGCCGGCCGAGCACTCCGAGCAGCGGCTCGATCCAGGACCAAAGCACTTGGCGCATGACACATCGCAAGCGACACACGACCGGTCCTCCAGCCGGAAGAAGCGCCCAACCGGGCAGCCATCCAGGCACGACCCGATGCCCGGCTCACTGAGGACCTGATCTGCCTGGCAGCCGGTGCACGCATTGTCCCCGGGCCCGGAGCAGGTCCGACACTTGGCCGAGCAAGGCTCACAGACATCCAGCCCGGCCACCTTGAACCAGCCGCTCGGACAGGCAGCCCGACAAAGGCCATCAGCCAGCAGGCCACTCGCCCCGGAGCAGGCCGTGCACTGCTTGGCCCCGGGGCCGGAGCACTCCAAGCAATACGGGCTGCAGGGAGAGCAGGTGCCAGCCGCGGACACCGGCGGCGGGAAGAACCCCACCGAGCAGGTGTCCACACACATCGCATCGCCCCCCTGCAACAGGGCCTCCGGCGCCCGGCAAGTCAGACACTGATTCGGCTTCGGGCCAATGCACTGGTCACAGGAGGCATGGCACCCGGCACACTGGCCACCGATGTTGATGGTCCGAGCCGGGCAAGTCCCATCACAGCCCCCGGCATGGTCCTCGACCAGACCACCCGGCACCATGAACAGGTTGCGCTCGCACTGCATGCAGTGATGACCCTCCGGGCCGGAACACACGAGACACCCCTCGGAGCAGGGCTCACACACCCCGGCCGCCGAGGCGAAGAACCGAGCCGGACACCGGTCCATGCAGCGACCCGCAAAGAGCAGGAGACCGTCGATGCAAGCCGTGCACTCGGTGCTCCGCGGCCCGGAGCACGACCGGCACTGGTGGAAGCACTTCTGGCACGTGTAGTCCGCACTCGGGAAGAAGCCCTCCGCACAGACGGTCCCAGGGCAGTGGGCATTCTCGATGACCACCCCCGGGTCCATGCAGTCCAGGCACTGATCGGCCCCGGGGCCGGAACAAGCCCGGCAGGAGGCATCGCATGCGGCGCAGGACACCCCATCGGAGGCCAGGAACTGGCCAACCGGACAGTCGGCACTCACACACCGGGCCTCCGGGCAGAGACGCGTCGGCGAGGTGCCGGCCCCGCCGCCAGGGCAAATGTCCAGCTCGAATGCCAACCCCGCGGCGCATTCCGTGCAGTTGCTGGCATCGGCACCGCCGACACACGCCCCGCAGCTCGGGTGGCACTCCAGACAATCGCCCGAGGGGGCCTCGAAAAAGCCACGCGAGCATGTCGCCTCGCAGTAAGTCCGGCCGGCATTCTGCACCATGCGGAAGCCAACCGCGCAGGCCGAGCAGTCGCTCGGCCCAGGCCCGGTGCACCCCGCACACGAGTCGTCACATGCATGACACTGGACATAGGCCGGACCGTCAGGCTCTTCCGGAGTCAGGACCACCTTCTCGGCATACCGATCCCCCGGGCAGGCAGTGCAGCGACTGCTGTCAAGGGCCGGGCCACCGGCCACCGCGGTGCCGGTGCACGCCTCGCACGACTCGTGGCAGGGGAGACACGACTTGGAGGCCACATCGGCCGCGAAGCCCGCCGGACACACCCGCAGACACTCCCCGGCCGGGCCCGTGGCATGGAGCCACAATTCGGCCCCATCGGCCGCGGTGGCCGGGCAGGCGGTACACTCGTCCACGGCCGGGCCAATGCACGAAGCACAAGCCGGGTTGCACCACTGGCAGGCTCCGGTCAGCGGATCCACATAGTGATCCTCATGGCACACGGTGCAGGAAAGGGTGGTCTCGGTGCTTTGCGCGCAGGCAGTGCATCCGCCAGACCCGCCCCGAGGGCAGGTTTGACACTCGCCATTCAGGGCACCGGTCCCCGGCGGGCAGGACACCAAACACCGGCCATTGGACAGGACCAGGCCATCGCGACAGGGGCCGAGACACTCGTCGGCCGCCGGACCGGAGCAGCTGTCACACCCGAGAGTGCATCGAGCACACCCATGGGCCCCATCCGGGACATACCCCACCGGGCAGGCCACACACATGGCATTCCCCCCGGGGGTTATCTGGCAGGACAGGCAATCCCGCCGGCAGCCGGGCACACACTCGCCCCGGGCATTGCGCAACGGGCAATCCACACAATCGACCGCCGTCGGCCCGGTGCATGTGGAGCACACATCGTGGCAGGCCCGGCAGGCGCCGGCCTCCAGGTACGACCCATCCGCACAGCGGTCCACCACGGCCAGACTCACGAGCGCCAGGCCGGCCGACGTCGGCACCGCCAGCGCATGCGGCACCAGCCGCCCGGGCGCCTGCAGAGGCAGCGCCCCATACACGCGGGTATCGGCGGCCAACGCCACCTCGGCCCCAGACACCCCGGGCTCGGAGCGCATCAGCCACCGGACCTGGCCAAAGCCCCCGGTCATCGGGAGCCCCGCAGCCAGGGCCACCCCGCGCTCGGTCACAACCAGCAGGTCGCCCACCTGGTCACTGGTCAGATCCAACACCATGGCACCCACCGGCAGGGCATCCCCCGCCGGGAGCAGGCCCAGCGCCTGGGGCGCATTCAGGGCCACTTGGGCACCAGGCCGGTGCATGTTCGTCGGATGGGCCACCTCCACCAGGAGGCTGGTGCCGGACCCACCGGCGGCCAGGGTGCCGAGGACCATGTGCGTGGCGGCGCGCGCCGATGCCACCGGCGGACGCCCGGTCCGGTGGTGGTTGTCCGCCAGCAGGATGACCTTCTTGGCACTGGCCATCGCCCCGCCGCCGCTGAGCAGCATCGACCGATCGATGGCCATGGCCATGGCCATGCTCACATCCGGGGCATTTTGAACGGCCCCTTGCAGGACCAGGCCCAGGCCGTCCGGTGCGGCGGGCTCCCGCACCGCGTGCAGCAACCCCGGCATCGGCAGCCCGGCGAAGACGCCCGTGCATGCGGGGTTCGGCGTCACCGAGGGATGCCGGACCGGCGCGCCGGCCAGGATGCTCAACAGGGACCACACCTCGAAGTCATCGGTCGACAGCGAGGAATCCCGAGTGACAATCAGCACATCCGATGGCGCCCTCTCGGAGGAGGGACCAGTTGTTGGATGGCCACAGGCAACCAGCGCCTCGCAGCCCACGCCGGCAGGCAACACCGGGTACACAAGCTCCCATGGCTGGAGGCCCCCCGTCACGGCACAGGCGTTGACATCACTGGAGCAGTCGATCGTCGCCAGCAGCGGCGACGCCGCCGCCGCCGAGGGACAAGCCACCAGATGCCAGACATCCGTCCGGCCCGGGGCCGGGAGGAAGTGCGCCAGCTTCAAGGCAGCAGCCGCAGCACCGCCCGTGCCCACCAGGCCGAAGATCGCATTCAGGCCGGTCTGCCAGTCCAGGCTCGAGGGCAGAGGGGCCGGCGAGCCGGGCGCACGACCGGACGGCGGATGGGCCAAGTGCAGCCCAGCCAATCCGGCCGCCCCGACGCCCAGGTAATACTCGCCCGAATGGCCAAGGGCCGCTGACGGGAGCCCATCGGCCGAACGGAAGCCCACCGGCGAGGGAATCAAAGCCAAAGGTAGGAAGGGGTCCCCGGCGGCCGGCGGCCAGACCGGCGCCCCGGGGACCGGCTCCGCCGGCGACTCCGTCGCACAGGGAGACCCGGCCGAGGGGCCGATGTCACTGCTGACGGCACACGAGTCGGCACACTGGCCATCCAGCCCGAGGCGCCCGTCCGATTGGGCACACAGCAGACAGATGTCCGGCCGGTCGGCTCGGCACATGTGACACTCGGCAGACGCGCTGCAGCTGATGCATGCCGCGCGATCGGCTTTCATCGACGCATTTCATCCCCACGGACAGTCAGTCGGCCGAAGACATGGGCAACATCCAGGACGGGACGGCCGGCAAGGAGGGGCGAGGAGGGGCGAGGAGGAACAGCGAGGGGCAAGGAAACCCACGCCCCGGGGCAAAGGCTCTTTCGACAACGCACCGGCCATGTCCGAGGAAGGAGTAAAGCCAGAGGCACAGCCCGGACAGAAGAGACCCCCCGAGGGCAGGCCATTCAAGCCGGGCCCACTGCCAGGAGCACAAGCCACCTCGAAGCCCTTGACCGAAAGCCCGGCCGAAAGCACCGGGCCACAGGTGATCGAATAGTCCGGGCCGTCGCAGCCCAGCTGGCTCCGGGACAGCAGCGGCGACATGTCGGTCAGCATCCAGCGTCGGTCGCCCGGGCTGGCAAAGGCCGCCACATTGAGGCCCCGATGATCCAGGGTCTGCATCAGCAGCCCCGGGGTCACGTCGGCCCGCAGGCGCAGATCCCCATGCCCCAGGCAGCCCAGGCTGTAGGTGGCCCGACGCAGGTCGCCCAGCTGCACGCGGAAGGTGCACAAAATGTCCGTGCATCCGAGCTCCGGGCGCGGAATGGACACCATTTCGAAGTCATTCGAATTCCCATACAGGTCGTTGAGCTCGGCATTGGAGAGAATGTCGCTGTATGCCCGGGAGGTGATTTCGGTGCCGGGGGCCGCCGATCCGGCCGGCTGGTGGAGGATCGAGAACCGGTTGACGACCGGGAGCACGAACACCCGCCCGAGGCCAGGCGGCATGTCCACCTCCACGGCCGTGCCGAAGGCTTCATCGCCGGCCGGCAGCCGAGCCAGCATTTTCACGCTGCGATTGGCGTAGCTCGGCAGGAATGCATCATACACACCATCGGCCCCGGTCAGCAGCAGCTGCTCCGGGTTGGTGGTCGGCACCATGGACACCACCGACGAAAAGGGCGTCGTCATGGAGGTGTCTGCCCGATCGGCCACCGGATCGAAGTTCAACGAGAAAAAGTTGGACATAGCGCTGAAGCTGAGCATGAAAAGCCCGCTTTCACTTCCGATGTTGAAGGCACTCGGCATCCAGGGGACCACCCCAGGGACGGAGTTCCCGATGGAGATGGTGTTGATTCGACGCAGCCGCGAGGGCTCGCCAGGCAGGACACCGGGCTGGGCATTCCACTCGGCCAGATACATCCGGCCATTTTCCATGACAAAGCACCACACTGCCCCGCCATGGACCCGGCAAATGGCTGGGCCAGTCAGCGCGGCCGATGGCCCGGAAAGCCCACCACCCAGGGGCCCGAAGAAGTGGGGCACCGTCGGCACGGAGCCGCCGCCCGGCAGCGGGGGGGTCCGGACATCGCCCTCGGCCGCCAAGCCCCGCACACAGTAGACTTCAATCCATTCGCCCGAGGCCAGGACCAGGTCCGGCACACCGTCGGCCCCCGGCCGGCCGGCCTCATCACACACATCCCAATATGACACGTAGCCCTGAGTCAGGGAGACCATTGCCGGGGCGCGGTACAGGTCCAGCGGGGTCGGGTCTCGGGTCACCGGCAGCTCGGCGGCCAGTCCTCGAACGCCATCCTGCTCATCAAAGAGCCGACCCAGAGTCCGCGCGAGATGACGGTGCGCCGGGAGCCGCACCGTGGCGCTGGCCGCGGTGGCCAGCAAGCCAAGCACCAAGCCCAGCAGCAGGAGCACCCGGTGATACTGGGCGCCCCGATGCCGGATCGCATCCCCATGCGCGGGGGGCGCTGCTCGCACCATCGGCCGAAGGGGCGAAAGGCAAATCCAGCAAGTGAGGGAGCCGATCGACGAGGGGGAGAAGAAGAAAAGGGGAAGGGAGGAGGGGAAGAGACTCGCGAAAGAGAGAGAGAGAGAGAGAGAGGGAGGGAGAGAGAGAAAGTCGACGGCAAGAAAGTGCGCATGACAGGTCCCCACGTCCAACCGGCCGGTCAGCCCGCCGCCAAATGAAGATCCCCCTCCGGAAGCCTGGCGCTGGTCCCTCGGTGCCGTGCCCGGGCATGCTCTCGCGGGCCCGGAATCCCGGAGTGGGCCATTTTCCGCCCACGCGAAAAGGCAACACACCCTCATGCCAATGAAATACCGTCCCGAGACGGCGGGCCTGCATCGACCAACCTTCTGCTGCCCCCTTCCGGGCGAGGGGGGAGAGGGGCCGATTCCGGCGAAGGTCAGGATTGGCCCGAGGGCCGGGGGGAAACCGGGCGGAGGCTCGACCACGTTCTCGAGAGAGAGAGAAAGAGAGAGAGAGAGAGAGAGAGAGGGAGGGGCCGAGTAACGGGGCCATAAGCACGCCGAGGCGGTAAACCGGTCCTGGCGGATCTCGGCTGGCCGGTGTCTCCTCGGCCTCGTGCCCCTGCAGGGGTCGGTCTCAGCTGCCAGGAGGGGATGGACCTCCGTCCGCCGGCCCGCCGGCCCGCCCGCCCGCCCCTGTGCAGGGCTCGAGTCAAGGGGGGGAATGTGGCCCAACCACGGTCAAAAGACGGAACATCCCTCCTCGCAGCCAGGCCTCGACCGATCCCCTGGGACCGAGGCAGAGAGAGAGGAAGCGAGAGAAAGAGACACCCACCCCGCAACGAGGGTCTGGGCCCATGCCTCGCAGACAGACGCCGACCTCGGAGACCGAAGGGAGGCCAGGGCTGGATCGTGGCAACCAGAAACCCGGAGTCTCGGGGGAATTGTTTTCCAGGGTTCCTCGCTGGGAGATCCAGAATGCCGCCCCCCCTTGTCCGCGGATGGCCGGGTCCGGCCCGCGGGTGTGCGCGTGCGACGCTCCCGGAAATGGGACTTTCCCACACCTCATTGACGATATTGTCTGGCTTCCTTGCGTGTCCAGCGCACCCGGCCACTTGTACCCCCGTGTGCGCTCCTCCGGCCGCCACACGGCCGAGGGGCTGGCTAAGCGTCTGCCAGACCAATATTGCCACAGAGCCGGGGCGAGGCACGGGGTTCACAGCAGGGCCCATGGGTGGGCGCCGGAATTCATTCTAGCACTCTCCCTGAGAATGACATTCCTCGTCTTGGCCAGATGCCGACGAATGTCCTTGCCGTTGGCACTAGACTCAGATATGTGCCTTTCCGTCCCACGGCCGTCGGAGTGGGGTATAAAAGAAGGCACATTTCCGGGGAGCTTGCGGCGATCACCACCGCCCCAGTTGTCCCCGCCACCCTGAGACAAGAGAGAGACCCCTTGCAAAGTGCGAAAGACCGAGAATCGACCGACAAGTCGAGACAGAGAGAGAGAGAGAGACCGAGCGCGAGAGAGTGGTCTCAACACAGCACCGCTACACCCAGTTCGCCCAGCTGCCCCGCCTGTTTCCGATCGCCCAAGAAGACGGGACCCCACGTTCACCGTGACCCGCCGCGAGCAGAGCCCCTCCCATCCCGGTGTGCTTCGCGCCCTTCCTTTGCCTCAGCCCGCCCCCGCCCCCGCCCCCCCCCCCTTCCCCCCTCTGGCGCAGTCCATTTCAGTCCCCGGACTTTCCCCCTCTGCCAAGAATTGAAGCACCCCCCCCCTCCCTGCCCCCGCCCCCGCGACATGTTCTCCAAACCCCTTCGCTACTTGGCACTCTTATTTTTGCTCCTCCTGCCGGCCCTCGCCCACGCCGCCTTCACCCGTCCTAAGATCATGATCGCCCCGCCGACGCAGATGCCCAACTTCGTCCTTCAGCAGCCGGACCACACCAACCTCCGGTACTATGTTGTCGATGTGCGTCTCTCCCGGCGGTCGCGCCTGCACATGCGCCCATGGGCCCCCTCCGCCTGACCCCGGCCTCTGCCTGCTTCTCCCATGCTTCCCTCTGGCCTGGCTGCTCGGCGGCCCCGCCGGCGCATGCCCCCTGGCGCTGACATGCGGCATCCTTGCGGGCCTCGGCTCAGCCCCCCGCCGATGAGCAGCCCAAGGGCGTCATGCTCTTCATCCACGGCCTCGGTGAGTATGCCCTGCGCCATGAGCCGCTCATTCGCCAGATCGCCGAGGCGGCCCACGTGCGCGTCGTTAGCTTCGATCTGCGTGGCCATGGCTACACCCAGCAGTCCAACCTCGGCGTCGTCTATGGGAAGTTCCCTCGCGGCCTGGTGTCCGACGTGACGACCTCCCCCCGCGCGCCGCCCATGAGGCTGGGCGATGTTGGCAGCTTTGCCACCCTGATGGAGGACTGCACGGCCGTCCTGGCGGCTGGCATGCGTGGCCTCCCTGCCGACTTGCCGACCATGGTGGTGCGTACATATCCCTCCCCTGCTCTCCTTCCACTCCGGGCTCTATCCACCCCGGCCTGCCTGCCCGGCCCTGCCTCTTCCCCACACAGGCGCCCCCCTATCCAGATCCCTGCTGGCCTCCTCTTGCGCCCCTCTCTCTCTCTCCCCCCCCCCCCCAGTGGCCCCGATCCAGGCCTCCGTGGTGGATCCCGCTGCCTTTTCTCACACATACCCACACACAAACATGTCAATTCGTATGCCCATGCGCATGCCGGTTGGTCACCTCCCGCACCCGCATCTGTGTGCTGCCCTGTGCGCCCGCCTGACAACTTCGACCATGGCGCGGCCGCTTCTGTCCCTCCTGACGGTGACCGGCCATTCGCATGGCCCCCTGAACCACGTGTCCTCTTCTCTTCCCCC